GGGTTGGACTTGATGGCCCATGAGGTCTCTTCCAACTCTTTGATTCTATGATTCTATGATTCTATGATTCTAGGCTTTGCTGTCTCCTCATGATGTGGCCAAAGTACTTCATTACAAACTGCCATTAAAAACTGTCAAAATTGATTGGATGTCAGATATGACAGGTATGTTGCCATAACAAAACCACTCTAGAATTTTGATTTGGTATTCAAGCCAAATCAGCCTTCCCATTGAAATTCACTTTGGGGCAAAGTTACTGTGTTTGCCAAATCTGGATTTGCTTGTTTGCTTTTTCAGGAAGTAATCATTCCTTTTGGCATGAAAAACAAGACTAAGGGGGAGATGATTCTTTGCCAGGGAGTCTTTCTACAGAAAGAAAATGAATTTCCACTACAAGATAATTACTTGCATACACAATTTCATGTGCAGGTGGTTATCTGCATTTTTTCTGGGAAAGGAGTCCTCTACTTTCAGTCATATTCTCAAAGGAATCTATTAAACCCTCTCCCAGGCGAAGAACTTCTGAGATAAACAAGAGGGTAAAAAATGCTTTAAATACTGGCATATCTCAGTTAAGAAAGCCTCTAATAAATAAGCTATTTTGCACCATTTTTTAATCTGCCAATCCACACATTTATTTCTTGGCTGCTATTCATTATAAGCAGCAGCATTGGGAGAGCTGGAGAAATTTTATGTATTGAACCGCAGCAGAAAGTATGCAATAAACAATGCAACAATCACTGGCAGCACTGAAATTCTGGGCCAGATTAATTACTGATATTATAGTCGACTATTCTGGAGATGCTATAACCTATTCATAATGTGGTTGCCTATATCCAAAGTGTTTCTGGCTTAAGTTTTAACAATACTGAATTTTACTTGGTTTTTAACTATGCTGGAGCTAGTTCATATGGTATTTTATGTAGTATTTACGAAGACTATGTAAGACTCCAGCAATACATGGAGCGAGAGTTGCCAGATGTTCAAGCTGGGTTTAGAAACGGCAGAGGAACGAGAGACCAGATTGCCAATATCCGCTGGATAATGGAGAAAGGCAGGGAGTTTCAGAAAAACATCTATTTCTGCTTCATTGACTATTCTAAAGCCTTTGACTGTGTGGATCATAATAAATTGTGGCAAGTTCTTGGTGGGATGGGCATACCAAGCCACCTTGTCTCTCTCCTGAGGAATCTGTACAAGGACCAAGTAGCAACAGTCAGAACTGACCACGGAACAACAGACTGGTTCAAGATTGGGAAAGGCGTACGGCAAGGCTGCATACTCTCACCCAACCTTTTTAACTTGTATGCAGAACACATCATGCGATGTGCGGAGCTTAATGAATGCAAAGCTGGGGTGAAAATTGCTGGGAGAAATATTAACAACCTCAGATATGCAGATGACACCACTCTGATGGCCGAAAGCGAGGAGGAGCTGAGGAGCCTTCTAATCAAGGTGAAAGAAGAAAGCGCAAAAGCTGGGTTGCAGCTAAACGTCAAATAAACCAAGATTATGGCAACAAGAACGATTGACAACTGGGAAATAGAGGGAGAAAATGTGGAGGCCGTGGCAGACTTTGTATTTCTAGGGGCAAAGATTACTGCAGATGCAGACTGTGGCCAGGAAATCAGAAGACGCTTAC